TTTTTTTTTTTTTTTTTTGAGAAATAGCATGATTCCATTATAAATGCAAAAGGAGGCCGGGAATCCCTCCACATCTCAACCCGGATGAAAGAACCAAGCCCCATGGAGGCTGTCTGGAAACCGGGTCCAGTGTCCCCTGCTCCTATCAAGAAGCTTGCTATTTCTGAAAAAGGGAAAAAATGGACGAATGAAATTAACCAAAAGGCACAAAGGAAGGAGCTACCTCTCTACCCGTAATCCTAAAGACATTCATATCCGGGAGCATTACCCGGCTTCGCTTCATGGGAGTCTACCTGCGACTCACCAAAATCTTCAGCACTCTCAATTCTGGAATAGCCTGCACCTACTGTAAAACAAGAGGAGGCCAAGAAACCCTCCGTGTCTCAACCCGGAAAATGCAAGTTAACCCCTGGAAGGTCAGTTAGGATGCCGGTACCCCGGCTCCCGTCACTATCCATACAATTCCTGAAGGAAGATCATTTCCAAACAGTATCTGAGTTCAGGCCAACAGCTGTCATTCCGTCTGGGGGCCAAAACCTGCCTTGGCTTACCTGAGAACTAGCCCCCTGTCAATCCCTGGTATCACTTCTCCAACCAACTACATACTGAAAGTTTTCCTTCAGCGGAAACTTTGGCCAGTCTATCGTTAAGGGCCCATGTCTTGTGAAACCATAACCAGCTCCTTCGTTGCTTATCTGCAATGATGGTTAATCTAATCCTGGATCTAATTAGGTTCTTCAACTGGACGAAGCCCAAATCCTCACTTCTAAAGAGCTTCTGGTTTCGGGCTGTCCAAATGATACTCATATACCCGGTAGACATCCACGAAAGAGTGGAGTTCCATAAGCTCAAGCAATATTCGAGTATCCCTCCGTGGGGGGGCGTTCCTTGGGGTGTCCAGGCCTGGACAGAGTATCGTATTCCAGTCCGCGCCAACAAGGAAGTTTTCTGTATCTGGCATAAACCCAGGTAAGTCTGCAAAAAAATTACAGAGTTCACTATAATCCACTGGGGCATACAATGACATGATACCCCATTCTTCATTGCCTACCTGAATCTTAATCCAAACAAAGCGTCCTTGAGTGTCCACGAAACTGTCCAGCACTTCAACGTCCAAGTCCTTGTGGAGAAGGATCGCTGTACCACCCTTGGTGCCCACTGCCGGGGCCCAAAATTGTGGCCCAGACCACCAGTTCCCCATCTCAACTATTCGGGATGGATATCATTCAGCCCTCGTACGTTCCAACTAGCAACCCGGAGCCGGCTTGGGAGAACCATCTGCAGGTCCTACCTTGCCGCCACCAGGTTGGATATGGCGAAGGGAGCCTGCGGGGGTCTTCCTGCGTTTGTCATCGTCTTTGTCCCCTGGCTGTAATTCCGTCAACACCCATGGGCTATGCAGAACCGCCTCAAACTGTGAAGAGGACAGAAAGTCCTTCAATGCTGCGTGCTTGATCCAGTCAGAGATGAGTTGGGCAGTGATCCCTTCCGACATGTAGATCTTTCTGAGAATCGAGTTAGAAGCTTGCGTGAACTGTTCCAATGGAATCCAATATGGATTCAAAGCTCGCAATTTACCCAAGGTTTCGGTAGACAGTTGAATGTTCAGAAAGGCAAAGTGGATACACGCCTTGCATGATCTTCTCCCTGAGGCCCAGTCAAACACATACCTACCCACCTTTGGCTCCGGTAAGAGTCTAGCATAGCAAACCCCCTTCAGGATCTTGCGGGAATGGCTCAAGATGTCCAGTTCCGAGGGTTGATTATCCACCCTCACAATGGCCATGTCGAGAATCCCCTCCGAGGGAGTGAAGGATAACACCATCGGTCCTGAGGGGGATGGGACGCATATCAGGGGGGCAAAATATTCTTCCATTTTATTTCTGTCTCCCCTGGACTTTGTTGTCATCGGCTGTGCCCCGGACAATGATCTGATGACTCTACTTCTCTCTTTCTCCTTTGGCTGGGCCTTACTATCTGCAGTTTTCCCTTCCGTCCCAGTTCGAGATTTTTTAGTGGGTGTCTGGCTTGCTTTCCCGTCCGAGGGTTGACCCTGAGGGCTCTCTTCATCTGAAAGTGCCGAAGAGAGACCCAAGGGAACAGAAAGCAGAGGGTCTACTTCTGCTGAGTGGGGTCCTGCAGATGAGGGGGCCAATGCCCCCATTTCTGTATCTGTGTTGGATCCGTCTGTAATCCTGGGAACGTCCAGAGAAGACTGCACTCCCTCGTTCTGTGGTGCATCTGGAGAGGGGAGGTGAGCTGGCCTGGGGTCCTGATTAATAATCAGGGGAGACCCAGCCAGCTTGTTAATCCAATCCTGGCGTGGGAGGTTCTCTGGAGAGAAGATTGGATTGACATGCTCAGTTACGAAGGGCTTGGCTGCACCGGGGAGTGGGGACTGTGAGAGGGCTAGACTCGCCTTCTCTGAGGGGACAGGGCCAGAGGCTTCTGAGACTGTCCTTGGTGAGCTTCCAGGTATGTGGGGTTGGGCTGGGGGCGGGGCCACCCCTCCCACCGGGACCCAGCCCATTCTGGGCTGGCCCTCCTGGGGGGGGGGGTTAGGTGCCGACCCCTTTCCCGCCCCCTTCCCTGATTGTGTCCCAATCGGGGAGGGGACGGGAGCATACGGCTTGGCGTTCTGTGGACTGTACTGACCCTGCTGACCCTGTTGTGTTCTGCGTCTCCTGGCAGGGCAGTCAGGGTCGCCCTCCGTATGGAAATATCCTCGACACTGGCTGCACCAGTCAGTGAATTGATTAATCACCTCCAATTCCATCGAGGCACCCTCATCTGGAAGATAAATAGCTAGGTAGGGAGTATAGAGTTCTTCCGCCGCCGGTTCCAAGTCGAATCTGATGTTGAAGAGTTCTGGTTCATCCGAAGAGGCTGCGATCTGACCTACTTTTAAAATTCGGCCGAAGGCCAATTTCACAGCGTCATGGATCAGGGGCATCGCCCCTATAGGGACCTGGAGAACACGTATCCAGAAACATCTGTATTTCATGGTCTCTCTCCACTCCTGGAGTTCGACCTCCGACATCCAGGGTCTGAAGTGGAGTGAGTATTTCACTCCGTCCAACGTGACCTCATCAGACTGTTTCTTCAACATCCATTCTGCCACCTCCTTCGTGCTTGGAACGTAGGTAACCAAGTTTCGTCCCTCGTTATGGAAGAGACCTCTCTTTGGTTCCGAACCAAGCATCGGCATGCCTATCCATTTGTTTTCGTAAATACGGACCGCCCGTTTCTTAATTTTAACGGGGAGTGAGTCACTATTTTGACCGAAAAAAATGGTGACTGCATTTTTAGAGAGCCATGCCTTCTGCGCTTGAAAGAAAGACGAGTCAACTTTTATACGCACACAATCCTCGTACCGTTCAACTCTACTCCCATCATCCGGGATCAAGTCTCTTGGAAGAACTCCGGACCGGTAACACTCCTCGGTTACCTGCGAAATCCGGTCTTTTTCCTGAGCAAGCGACGAGGTCGCCCGATTCTCTCCGTCCATTTTTAGGGATTAGAATGTTCCAGGTAGGCGACGTAACATTACGCAGTCCAGGGGAAGGCGAAATCCGCACGAGGACCCAAAATCTCACAGATTACAAATAACCTTAGTCCTATGTCTTGGGCAGGTGGGGCTAACGTGCAAACCCAATTACCATCATTCAGACAGCCCATGTAAACACCCAAAGACCCAGAGAAAAACGTATTAAATCATTACTGTAGTATCGATCGAGACCAAGTTATCAATAATTACAAGGCTCTTTCCCGGATTTAAGTCAGGCTTAGTCAGCGCTTAGTTACCGCCGGGACTTCTTTAACCCAGTCCACCACAGATGCTGGTGAAGGAGTTCTAAGGACAGCGGTTTATAAATGAACAAGGGTAAGAGAAATAAACTCAATAAGTCCCTTCCTAAACAGGAGGCTGCAAGACACGACCGGCTGAATATTCGCCTCCGCTAACGGGATCGTAAGACCACCCGCACTACCGTACCAGGAGAAAAACAGCCTTGACAACGTTATATACCTACCCTCCCGTGGTCTTTCAGCCCTAACCCCAAGGTAGATATATGAAGGGCAGAAATTACCTCCCGAGCTTCAACGAGGATGAGCCGATCATGTCCAGTCTCAAACCGCCAGTTACCTCTTCATCCTTCAACGATAGTGAGCTCACAACCTTCATTACATTCGCTCAACATACTTGACATTCGCTCAACATACTTGACGCCGCACTAGGAATTTCTTCCCCAGGTGAAGAACCGATCCGCGAGCCCGTCCAGATGATGAAGGAGCCCTGCTCTTTAGCCAACAGCTAAGAGCGGGCGGCTCCTTAGTGCCATGGCCTCATTACCATAGTTAGGTCTCTGGGCTACTATTGATGTTTAAAGGGGCTGCCGGGCAGGACTCCCCTGAGTGCAAAGCACTCCCCTTCCCACTCAAGGGAAGGGTTGGTGAGACCTGCTACTACCAAGAACGTTCCGAACTCCCGGCAGGGCGGACGAAGCCCAAAACACAGACTGTAGTCGCCGCTCCTTCTCGCTCTCCTCGCAACTCCACTCCCCGCGTCTTCGAGTGCTCCTCGGAGTAGCACTAATTAGGGTTAACCGGAGATCAGGTCGGCGCCATCGCCCCTACCTCTTCCACGAAGTCAGAGGACGTCGCGTCGGGTCGGCCCGTCCTTCAGCAATCCCAAAATTAGCGCATGGTCCGGAGAGCGCTAACCGGGCGCGGGTAGCGCACGAGGTCCCCCTTGCCTTGTTTGGTTTTACCGAACATCCCCCTTTCCATTGGTTTTCAGTTAGATTGTTAAGTTTTCGATTTTAATTTCTGTTTTTTTTTTTTTTTTAACCTTTTCATTATTGACATTTTTCATTATGAGACGCTGAGAAGGCAGCAGAGTAGGATTTTATTTTTATTTTTATTTTTATTTTTGGAAGTTTTGGAACATGGCTACTCAGGGCCAACAGGGCAGGACTGGGTACTTCAGGTAGTCTCCCGCTGCTTTTTGTTACCTGGAGACACTTTGTTTCTGAGACATCTATTCCTGTTGTTTTCATGCTTGCGGGGGATAAGCAACCGGACTGGTTTCTCCTAGAACATAACAAGGGTGATTTTTCTTGTTGACAAAAAAAAAAAACAAAAAAAAAAACGCCCTTTCTTTGGACCACTTCCCGTCCTCACCTGCCGTCAGAGAGGGAATAATGATTGCGGAAACCCAAGAAACGTCGGATCAGCCGTCCTAAAGGCCCTGTCCATCAACACATTCATGGTCAGATCAGCCGTCATAAAGACCCTGTCTGTACCTTTGCAGATAACTCATGGACCCTATGGGACAATGGCGGTAGGGTGCACACAGCGGGAATTATCAGCTCTTTCTATCACCAAGGGGTAGAACATCACTCGGTACGGCTCGTCCATCAGGAACAGTATTTCGATGAGCACTCACAAGCACTACTGCCTCCGGAGAGCAATCCGGCTGAACCTCCTTCTTCCCCTGTGCATGGGCAGGCAGCATCCCCTCCCTTTGTGGATCGGATGGCTTCTACCATGAGCAGTGAAGTGACCTCCTCTCCAGAGTCCCAACTGTTTCATAGTTGGGTTGTCTGAGCTCGAGCGCTTTCATTGTCTGTAATAGGATTAAATTAAATAATAAATATCAAATATGCTTTGATTTTGGATCTACTCATCTGGGTGGAATAGGGGCTGTTGTGGTGAAAATTCAAAACACGCACCCACACACCTACACACACCCAACCACCCACACCCAGCCACCCACACCCACACACACCCACACACACCCACACACACACCCACACACCCACACACACCCACACACACCCACCCACCCACACACACACACACACACACACGCACACACACACATGCAGTAAGCTGTTGACCAACCACTTGTTGACTCTTTTTTTTTTTTTTTTTTTTTTTTTTTTTTTTACTCGCTGACTCTTTGTCAACCCTCTCCTTTTTTTTTTATGTTTCCAAATACTATACTATATGAGTGTGCCATGTGCTACTCGTACATACTTGGATATCAGAAATGAGTTTCCTCTTCTTTTTGTGTTTTTTTTGCAGGTCATATTGCAGTGGCTGCAACTCTGGGAAGCAGGGATGTGGTAAGCAAACATGCAATTTTTTATGGGTTTTTTTTTTTTTTCCCTTAAAACTACTCTATATTCTTCTCTCAAATCTTTCAATATCATTCAAATTCTTTCAGTTCACCTTCACTACCTACCTACCACTACTCCTAAGGCCTAGACAGGGGACCCCTGCAAACATGGCTTTGTTGTCATGCAAATTGCACTCACCCTTCGGGAAATCCAATTACGCAAGACAACAGATATTCTCGATGGGAATGCCAACCTAGTCAGGAGGACTAACCTTCCAGTTCCAGAGCAGGACAGCCCCCAGCAGGAGGAGTTATTTTAGTGTGGCGCCAATAGCAAATAAAATATCCTGGATGTATGTGGACTTCGCTTGAGACCAGATACACCCAGGGGGTCTGTCGTTTTAAGAACACCGGACCCTCAGGAGCAGCAAATTTGGACCCTCGGTTTCAATTTCTGCAAGGAAAATAAGTAACAGCGAGATGACAATTCCAGATCACACCATCACATTGAAAGCCAAATAGTCACACCGTGTCCAGAGAACAGCATTGCACCAATAATACACCAATGGAAGTTCGTAGCACTGAAA